CAAAAGGGCCACCACTTACGGGCTATTCATGCCCGTGCCACCTTTTGGGTGGCTTAATCTTCATCAGTCAATCAGCACAGTATATAGGCGCACCGCTCCTGTGCCAGGTAAGTCCACTACGGGCTCTCCATAGCCCGTGCTACTTGCCCCGCTCCTGTGCCAGGTAAATTACGGGCTCACCATAGCCCGTGCTAATTGGAACTTGTTCAGAGTAGCTGAATCTATAACAACAACAGTATAGTATATTGTTAGGTTTCCTTACCACAGCAAGCATCACAGTCCCGTGAGAGTGGAAAGTTTATAAATTAATTTTTACTAGTTACAATTAACATTATTAAGGATTAAAAATGTATTCAACTGTTAGGATAGAAAGGGATTTTCCTTCACACTATTATATACTTTCTTTGATCCTCGTCTGCAGTGACCTTTGACACTACCGATGACCACCTGAATCTTGCATTTTAGGATACAATGTTTAAGGGGCTTTTTAAGAACCGACGCGCTATATGGAAGGACGTAGTAAGGGCTCAGTGATGGTCGTATGTAGTACAAAATAAAGACTGTATAATAAGAACAGTGTATAGAAAAGATCGCCTATAAAGAATGCTTGCAAACAACAGTGCTTGTGGGGGATTAAACTCGTGACTAAAACAAAAAAAAAACACGACCAAAGAGGCTAGTATTCTCATACAAAAAATACTTTCAGAAATTGTTTAGCTGTTAGTGACAGTTTATGAAACTGCGGAGCCGAATTTCATAATAATCCATGCGAATTGTTACAACTAACGATGTTGACCAGACCACACACTAAAAAGTGAAGGGACGACGACCTTTCGGTCCGTCCTGGACCATTCTCGAGTCGATTACAACCAACGATGTTGTGAATTTGCAAGATTCATTTTGTGCGACCTGTTTATTATTCTTTACGCCTTCAGTCCTCCTAAACTTCCAACATTTTTCCAGGTAACGAAGCAGCATGGTGATAAACCTTCCGAAGAGGCGCACCATAGAACACGTTTTAAGGAGCACAATGGCCGAGTACCCCTTAAGTCGGAGCACCAGGCGAGAGATGAGGCTATGGCTGACGGGAATATGTTTGGCCCTGTTGTTGTTGAGTCTCTGGACTGCCGGCAGCCTTCCCAGTCAGCCACCAGCGACGCGCGCACACTTAGTAAAGAGCCAAGACCTGCCTTTGGTGTTTCCAGTAATAGAGGAAAACCTGATACCCGGTAACATGTTGGTGGAAATCAGATCAAAGAAGACGCTAATGGAGGTAACGCCTCACTCTCCCTATTCTATTCGTGGACAGCTCGCCTATCTCCATCGGTTAGTCCTAGGCTACAATATATGTAATAGCATCCAGTCCTTTCGAGGACATATACTCTTACATAAAAATTTATGAGTTTATGTTAATTAGGTATTTGAATTCAGACCTTTCGTCTGAAAGGATCAGTAAGGCTACATTTTAACCTTTAATTAGAGTTTAGGAGTTATGTGAAGTCTCATACAAAGATACAACTTCATAATAGCAGATTCTTGGTAAATAATAAGAAATGTACTTCATTGTGTATTCACACTGATTGCTTTAAGTCGAATCGTCCATTCGTGATGGACGAAAGAAAGGCCCAAGGATTACCGCCTCTGTTGCTGTATAAATCACCCAGGTTCTGGTCAGAATGTTCGCAGATGGTGGCTACGAATCATTTTTATGTTAATGGAAAATTGTGCAACTTTTACAAATCTTTAATTCAGATTGTTCGACAGGTCCCCGCCACCGACTAGGCTACACTTCAATCCGGACGTCAGCCCATGGACACCGTGGGGACCAAAACTGGAGACCATTAGCGACTACTTCAGGTACCTACGAACCCCACAGACCTCCTGTCGCAAGCTGAAGAGATTGGGCGGCACATATAATTGTAAAAAAGGGCAAGGAGACGAGAACAACATGGATGGCCACAAGGTACAGTACATGGAAGTATGGACTTGAGAGGACTACTCTTACATATTCAGTTTTGTTGGATTTATAAGATTTTATAAGCTGAAGTGACGTGTAGAGTTAATATGTAGAACTTCAAGGTAACATAGAGCCATAAGATGCAAGGTTTGGTTGCAAAATCTATATTTTGACTAAAGACTGCCGTCTTCCACTACAGTACGTGTGTATGGACCCATCACTGGAGGTTGTTGGAGCCAAGGACGCTCGAGGTTGCCTCACTCTATCTTTTGGCACACAGATGGACACCAGCTTTGACAAAGCTGTCTCTGTCCTCCCCTGCGAAGTTCACATGTTCGACGTGCTCGACTTTGACCCGCCACTGGCCAAATTTAATGACAACGTTTATTTCCACGCTGTGGGTAACGTTTTATTATGAACCATTACTCACTGTTCTTTGTAGAATAAATATATGCGTCGTTTAACAAATGGTGCTTATTTATAATATTTATCTGAAGAGTAAAGTTTTTAAACAAAACAATTTAATTTTCCAGTTTTCCCAAGCTTTTATTGGGTAAAACGAGTACTAATGCGTCCCCTTATTGTCTCCATGCAGGAAGGATTGGCCAGAATGAAGTACAGCGTTCACTTCCACAACATCAACAAGACTGCTACTATGGACACACTCAAAGCCTACTTCTTCAAGAACAAACTGTATCCAAGACCAATACATATCCTCAAGGTAACTCTTGATTCATGACTTTTGGGTAACTCTAACGCGTCCTAAGACAACACATGATTAATATACGCCCCCAAGAGTACAATATGGCCTATAAACACTCACGGTTATCCCACGATTAGTCACTCCTATGACAATGCTTCAGAAAACCTATACACCAAGATAACCACCTATTTTATATACCAAACTCAGTATTTTTTAATAACTGCATAACTTAAAATGTACATGATCTCTAAAATATCTGATCTTGATGTTAACTTTATAATTTCGAATAATTGTTAAACTATTCCTTTGAATTGAACCTTACGCTGTCGTGTTGAACATCTTTGTTTTTCGGCAGCCACCGAAATTAGAAATTTCACTTTGGCAATTTAGAGGTTAAGTTATGAAATAATTCTTCGGTGATTTGTAAATTGTGGAAAAATTTTGAACGATGGGAGGATGAAATACCTGGAGAGGGTTTCGGGAGTTATTTTACTTCCTGAACCCAACCTGGGAGCTACGCTCGACCCCCGAAATATTTTTGATAGGCTGCTAAAAGCAAGGAAATTATTAATTGATATAACGTTGACCACAGACAAGGTAACCACTGTAGAAATTAGATGACTGGTGTAATTTCTAGTTTACTTAAGTAATTATTTAATAGCGCGTTATAAAAACTCATTCTGACAGTCTTATGGACTGTCAGAATGAGTTTTTATAACGTTTCTCTGACAATTTTGAGGTTATATTATGGAAACAAGAAACGACAATCCTTCTTGGGCACTTGCAAGTTCTACTCGAGCCACTTAGTAACATATCCTTATTGTTAACTTAATTAATTCTATTAGTATACACTGACCCGCAACTCAAATGTTCCCCGCATCTCAGATGTTATTGCATCTCTAACGACATAAGAACCTTATTCTGTCTATTAGTATACTTGACAGAATACTAATAGTGGTCTCCAGACACATTGTCTGGAGACCACTTTGTGCTGTCCGTATGTGTTTCTCTCGGATCTATTTCTAATATAGTATATTCCAACTCATCCTCCTGTTTAGATTGTACTTTTTATAACTTTGGACAGTCATACATACATAAACGTAATGGACAATTAGATTAGTAGAATTTGGTACTATTCACTTTATAAGCCTGAAAAAATAAAGCTAAAAACTAAACAAATATTCCTAGCTTTACCACAAATATATATATGCTAAACTAGGCTTAGTTTAGCACATATATATATATATATATATATGTACTATTGTAGGTCTCAGATAGGCCTACGAAGGTTAGGTTAAGCTCTCTTTGCAACATCAGATCAAATACTTTTCCGGTTTGTCAGAATTCAATAGTACAGATTTCGATTTTCTAACTGACTTTTATGTTAATGTACAATGGTCCTCATTGTTACTAAAAGTACTACCTAAACAGGGCCCCATTCTCTGTCCTTTTAGTTTCGTGGTTTCTCTTCTTACACGTCAAATTTCTTGTTTTTTTTAACTATAAGGATTAGGAATCCTAAGCTTAGTTTCTATATATTACATGCATCTTTAGGCTTTCTACTGAATTTCTAGAAAAGGGATTGGAAAACCTTATTGTTTCCAGTTTTGAGAGAATTTACAAACCGGTGTGTGAGTGACAGCCAAGGGTAAGTGACCACAAGGTTGAGTGACAGCCAGAGTGAATGACAGCTACTGATACAAAGGACACTCTCCTGCAGGTAGACATCGAGAACGGGGAGTGGGAAGCTTTCAAAGACATCGCCCAAGATCCCCTCTTCGACGCTGTCGGCCAGGTGGGTCTCTCCTCACGTTCTTCAATATTTGTCATTTCAAATAGTGACCCCTGTTGGTTTCTGCACGATTTAATTGGATTATTTTGTTAGGTTAGATTTGGCTTGGTTAGGTAAATTAGTTTTTTTTTAAAGCTGATGGTCCATATCGACTGCCAGGATCATTAAGGCCGAAAGCTAGCTTAGTTTCAGACCATTGCGTCCACTTTGATCCCAGCAGATGTTGTGAGTAGAATTGATATTAGAATTAGATTAAAATAGGCTACATTTTTCCGTATGTTCGAGGATCATTCTTATGCCAGAGTAGTTTGTCGTTGGTCTTGGTTAGTCAACCAGTCAATAAGACTACTGCAATAACATACTGACCAACAACCAAGTATATTACAGTCCGGGATATAATTCAGGTCTACCGTAAACTGAGCGTATATCCACCAAGAAGTGTGTACTACACTGCTGCTTTGTGCGTCTTTCTCTTATCTTACGAACTATACCATCTATTCCTTTTACGGCTCACAACAGGGAAATAATCTAACAAATATCCTATGAACAAATCCACAAGAGCCGTGACGAGGGTTTGAACCTTGTGGATTTGTTCACTTGATGCATCACGCTATTGTGATTTCTGTGTGTAAATATATTCGTAATCTGCTTCCCTCCCTTGGCTGTGACATGCACTCTCTCCGCGTACCTGAGGCAGAAAAAGTGTAGCCCACTTCGCTAACCTGTGTCGTCTCCCTGCTGCAGCTGGCAATGGAAGTGCATGCAACGGAGCTGGTGGCCGGACCTGAAGGGAAGCCGCCTCCTAATGTGCCCCGGGAGAAGTGGCTGGGAGCGCTGCAGGAGCGCTACGATGTGCTCAGGATGATAGAGGTCAGTGGCTTTTGATAGTCAAGGTTGGTGTTTATCAGGAGAACGTGTTTAGCTAGTAGGGCTACGTAGCACTACAAGGGGATATCAGGATTGACAGGGAGCTGGGATGTGAGTTAAGGAACGACGCTCAGTCACTGGGATCGTCCGGATTGAACGGCAGTCCGGCGAGTAGATTGGTCCACGTGTATATAATCTTTATGATGAGTATATTGTGTGTGATAGTGGTACATGGCTGGTGTGTGTGTGTGTATATATATGCCTGCATGTATGTTGGGGGGGGGGGGGACCTGCTGCATGGGTGACAGCTTCTCCACCGTATCAACCTACCCTGGCTTTGCGCCCTAAAGAGGCCACGCCAGACCGATAACCAGAGCGCAACTCCATAGTCTCCTGAGACTAATGGATGCCTACTACTATGCATGCATATATATGTATATATATATATATATATATTATATATATATATATATATAACTCACTATATATATAAGCCAAGTTTTCCTGAATTAATATATTTACTATATTTTTTTTCTTATGAAATGATAAAGCAACCCTTTTCTCTATGTATGAGGTCAATTTTTATTTATTGGAGTTAATAACCTAACCTAACCTATATTTATAGGTATATTCATATTGGCTTATAGGCAAATCGGCCTTGAATAGTAGGCTGAGAAGTGCGTTCTGGCTATTATATATATATATATATATATATATATATATATATATATATATATATATATATATATATATATCGTGAATTAGAACGGTTAAGTGGCACGTTCGTGCAAAACTACTATATACATAAGATTACATGCTAGCTTGAAGGATTATCTTGACATCAGTGTAACCAGTATCCTAAAGCTGCCAAGCTATTTAACAATGCTAGTTATACGCAATGTAATGTACTTTTAACGCACAGGATATAACAGTGTGGAGCAACTCTATTCCATAAGAGATTTCAAAGTATAGTTCAAGAGGAGGCTGTAAGTTCATCTAATATCCCCATCTCATAGGATGGGATAAATGAAATCGGGAGAAGATATGAGATGCGAGTCTAGATGTAAACCTGCGCTAGCAGACTTTAGAGAACGATAATATCTTGCAAGTGACCCGTGAACACTCGTGTTCAGGGGTAATAGGACCTGGTCAAGCGATTGGGTGGCTTAATCTCCATCAATCGTCAATCAATTGGACACATTGAACGGGAGACATCTCCCGTCACGCAGGGTGCAGTCGCATCTCCACAGATCTCCAGTATCAGCTCTTGATACTGGCAATGGCTCAAAAGGACCACCACTTACGGGCTATTCATGCCCGTGCCACCTGTTGGGTGGATTAATCTTTATCTGCTGCATGGGTGTCTTTATCTTTATCAGCATCTGTGTATTGCAGGCGCGAGGGTTCCGGAGAGCCCTGTACTGGGACAACGTGCAGGACGAGTTCTCCCTGCATGACGAGAAGGGCACCCGGTACGAGACGTCTGGCGAGGTCCTCTACGTCAACACAAACTGGTACAACACAACCTTCAAGCAATACCTTGTCAAAAATGGCTTCGCGTTACGCGAGTTAACATGAGGCCAGAAACCACGTTAGCAGAACCGTGGAATGTACAATAATATACATTACTGTTAACATTTATGATTGATAAATTACTAATATGTAATAAATCGACATGATTGAATTTTTTGTGAATCCTGTAGCACAGTAGTCCTCGTTCTAGGTTGGCAATCGAAGGACCGGGATTCTATCCCCTGGGAGGACAGAAACGGTTGGCTACGTCTCCTTTTAATCTGACGCCTCTGTTGTTGTTATAGATTCAGCTACTCGGAACATGTTCCAAGTAGCACGGGCTATGGTGAGCCCGTAAGATGCCTCTGTTTACCTAACATTAAAATAGGTACCCGGGAGTGAGGCAGCAGTTGTGGGTTGCATCCTGAGAAAGGGCAGTAGTTGGCCTTGCCTGAGGAGGACCTCGATGATTTTAAGAGAAAACATTATTATTTTATTATTAACATCTTTATTGACAAAATTAATTACAGTTTTGCCTAATCTGAGAATTTCGATTGCCTTATTAAAGTGAGGATAATGCTGGTATTCACTGTCACGCAGGACAGAGGGTCATACATAAGACAATAGGCTTAAACTGTAGGCGGAAGTACATACGAAGTAATACACTTAAACAAGTACTCCTCTACATGTATGTAAAGTATGCTCTAAGTGTACAGCAATGGTGGCGCAGTGCTAACATACCAGCCCTTTGCGACCAATTTGACCTCGGATCGAGTCCTTGCCGGGGGAGGATTGTCAGGATACCAATTCTTAACTGTTCGCCTCTGTTTGTCCAGCAGTAATAGAGTACCTGATTGTAAACCGATTGACGGTTCATGTTCCGAGGAAAACTAGTGTGTAAGGCTTTCTATGAGCCGTGGGATGGGGAAACGCTCCACCTGCTGACAGGTTGGTTAAGCTCTCTTCAAGTTGATCAAGTTGTCTGTTCCTGTGTAAAGTAAAGGACCTCAGGTGAGGCTGGTGGACGGCCGATGACCTTAGAGCAGAACATCAGTTACAGCCCCGCTCCTGTGCCAGGTAAGTTCATTACGGGCTCACCATAGCCCGTGCTATTTTGGAACTTTTGTTCTAAGTAGCTGAATCTAAAACAACAACAACTTAGAGCAGAGTCACGTATCAGGGACATGTATACACTGTGAGGTGTACTCTGCTTCTCGGTGTATATACACCTATAGTTTACTTTTGCCCTGGACTGTATTCAGGACTACAGTATACCTGGTGGTTGGTCAGTAAACTCTTGTGTGGCTTTAATAAACACGCAGCGCGGTTGATTTTCAAATCCAAATTTGTATTCAAAAGAATGTGTACAAAAGGACATTAGGAGTAATGTACTATTGTGGGCGACAGGAGTTAAACTAATGAAGCCTCTATTACGCAAAGCGTTTCGAGCAAAACTAAATATTTTGTGGAAAACAAAAATCATTTAAAAATGTGAAGGGTAAGCACTTACTACAGCGTGCACATATCAGTGTTTACTAGTTGTGTTTTTGCGGGGGTTGAGCTTTTGCTCTTTCGGCCCGCCTCTCAACTGTCAACTGTTTACTAACTATTTTTTTTTCTCCCCACACCACACACACACACACACACACACACACACACCCCAGGAAGCAGCCCGTGACAGCTGACTAACTCCCAGGTACCTATTTACTGCTAGGTAACAGGGGCACTTAGGGTGAAAGAAACTTTGCCCATTAAATCACAAATATATCAGTGTACATATGCGTGACTCTTCTCTAAGGCCACCGGCGTCACATAAAGGTAGGTAGGTGTGTGTGTTTTACAAAGGAACAAACGATCATTATTTAGGGGAGAAAAATCTCAGTTTCTAACAATTCGATTTCTTTTTAACAATCGCTCATAATTTGCTGCATTGAAACTACGCCTCGATTGGATTGCAACTATGTGCCAATTTGCACGGTCAAAATTTATGGTGTCAAGAAAATACATACAAGCTATGGAACCGCCTACCCGCCGAAGCGGCAATACCAATAATGTTGCAATCTACAGGATATATAAGGGACCTTTTGACAAGCCATTGGCTTCCTGTCCTCGTTGAGGCCACTAGTGAGATAATGGCCCCTCGGGTAAATTCAGGTCTAATGCCACACGTGACTGGCAGCCGTATCAACAAAGAGTGATGGATTGTTTGCTTAATCATATATAAAATACATATAATGAGAACATTTGTATAAATGAGCAAGATATCAAAATTCAGCTCATTATGCTTGCCCTTCCCTGCGATGCAATTAATACAATATTATTAATTGAAGCTTTATTTGGTCCTAATTAATTCTGCATCAGATTATCATCTGATGTTGCAGGAGGCCTCATAGGTGTAAATGTATACACATCAATACATATGCACAATACCACATTTTTTTTTGCAATAATTGCGGGGGTTCGGTAGTCAATAACTATTTTTTTACAATTATTACTTTGTGTATATATACAGAGTTGCATACAAATATGCTGCCGCTGACCCCTACCTGTGTTGCCGTTTTGACCTCATGAATAATATTTAAATTAAGTCACCTAACATTGAAACAAATATTCTTGTTAAATCACATTCCTCGTCGAATATGTTCATATGGCCGCCATTCACATTCCTCCACCAGAAAATAAAAAAACTAGTGACCACTGTTTGGTCTACTAGCTTATAAAACAAATCACAAATATGACAATGTACTTCGGTATAAATTAATAACCTCATTTTATATTAAATATGTGCATTGCAGACACTTTCAACTGGTCTAATGGTGTCAAATATTATACATTAGACACCCACAACCTCGCTTGTCTAGGCTGGGTGAAATACCAGACACTCGTACTTTGATTGTTCATTTATAATGGACCCCATACCAATCCTTTGGGCACCAGTGGATTCAATACCCATCTTATACACGACAGGAGACCCCATAACCATCCTCTGGGCGATTGTGCACCCCATACCCATCATGGGAGAGGTAGTTTATTGTGCACCCCCATACAAATTTCCTGAGCAGAAGCGTAAAATAATTATACGGCACAAGTCATAATCATACTTCATTGAATGTTATTTAACATCGAATTTTACAACTGAATTTAAATACTTTATTACCAAATGCTTGTTTTGTACATTTATGGGTTTACACAAATTTACCGTAAATAATTTACCTATGAGAAATTCTTAATAATAGCATCTGTAATTGCACATTGTATACTTAAGAATTTAGATTTGAAGTTACATATATCAATTTTAAAATCATTGCAGGTGTCAAATTCAGAACAAGAAACTATTTCCGTAACAACTTAAGCAAATTGTTACAATAATGATTGAACTAAATAGGTGCACAGCCGTCAAAATCAAGCTTAAAGTCAAATTAAACTAAATCAATCTTTAAAAGTACACTTTAAGTCAAATTTTGGCTTAAAGTGAATAACATTTAGTTTACAATTTGAAAGGCGATATGTATTGGGAAACAAAGTGTAGTTTACCATTAGAGCAGTAGCAAATTTTGTCACATTTTACATTTAAAATGTAGGACGATGAAAATACAATTTAAAGGCATAATATAAACTAATGATTCAATGCATTAAAAAAACTGGAATATCTCTGCCTAGTACTTCTAACTATGGGATCAATATAAAACGTCTCCTGTGAATTAAAAGGAAACAACAGCACACTTGGGAGGATTGAGCGTTAGGCTGTATTTTTCCACTATAGCTTTAACATATTTCTATCAAGGTTTTCATATCATCTTTGGTGGGTGCGAGTAGAACTAGATGATCATCATAACAGAAAGCATATAATTTTATACTCGGCTTGTACTGAAGGGCGAGGCGATATTATGTTCCCCGGAATGGGAACCCGAAGGAGGCTGCCAGGTGTTGCTTGAAGGTGGCGTTGTACCAGTTGGTGTTGACGTAGAGCAGCTCGCCTGCCGTCTCGTACCGGGTGCCGGTGACGTTGTCATACAACGGACTTACTCCAAAGTCGTTCTCCAAATACAGCACTCTGCGGAATCCCCGAGCCTGTAACACACGCATACACACCCCCTTGTATTAGGACATCCTGGTCAGTCCAACGGCACCTGTGTTCATGGATACAAAAACTTGGCAGGGATCGTCTAGATTCTAGGCACACTGACCTCTATCATCCGCAAGACGTCGTAGCGTTCCTGCAGCAGTCGGAGCTTGTCCTCTATGGGAGCCTCATTCAGCTCCCCCACGACCATGGCGTGTACCTCCAGCGCTACCTGCGGTATTACGGGTTTGTTTGAGTGTGTGTGTGTGTTTACTATTTGTCTGCAGAATCAAGCTATTAGCTCTTGGGTTAGCCAGTAACATTCTAACTGAGAATCAGTTCTAAACTGGTCAAATTAGAACATTATTAATAAACACATAGACTACAGTAACACTAAATATGACAACACCGAGAAATATTAGGATAAAGTCAAAATAAAACAATATATATAACGAACAATGCATAAACCAGGACGAATAATAGGCACAGTAGAGACACGAGTGCAAATGAGAATGAAGATTAGACAGAAGTAAGATTTGATTTCTTGAGAAGATAAGACGGGGGTAGATAATGGATATCGTAACGTCTTAAGATACACATAATGAGTGCACGTGTTCCAGAGTTAGAGATAATGGGTACAGCAGAGACAGGTTGGAGTAAAGGGAGACCCACCTGGCCAACCACGTCGAAGATTGGGTCTTTGGCGATATTTTTGAAGGCTTCCCACTCGTCGTTCTCGATGTCCACCTGCAAGAGAGGGTCCTCAGTATTACCCCTGGCTGTCACTCACCCTGGCTGTCTGTATCTATTAATTGAATGGTGATATTCTGATTTTTATGCCCCTATTGCTTCGCCTGATATTCAGCAGCTAGCCATCTCTGGGGTATTCAGCCATCTCTGAGGCAGCCAGCCATTTCTGAAGCATTAAGCCTCTTTTCATAGGACACACCAACAAATTAATCTGCTTCGGAAATTCTATAACATGACCGTTTCAAACAAACATCTAATCCGGTTCATTCTGAGAGAGACATACTCTTCTCCAGCCCAAATCATCACGAACATGACAAATTTGTAAACAAAAAAATGTCAGTTGAGATTATGCTGATATTCATTATACTGAACATTCGTTCAGGCAACAGCAATTGTTAGAATATGAATATTGTCAAGTTCAGTAAACACATTTAGGTCAGGATGAGTTTGTTTACGGTACTGTAGGCGCTTACTAGAGAGAACGCTGCCATCACCAGTAGGAGCAACTTTAGGGGTGACTGAAGGAGAGGTGGTCACACAGGTTGTTACTATCATTTGCAGTCTAATTCCCTCTTAATATTTTAATTTAGATCCTTGACAAGGATAAAATAACCAATATGAGATATTTCCCTCTTGTTCTATACCAGAAAGCTGAGGCCAATATTAAATTCAGAACTGATAATAGGATTATTTTTAGGTCCTAAGCTTCAACGTGCGGATTGAGTAAATTTGAGAATGCATCTTATCATAACAAATTGACTAAAACCCTCCCAACCACCATTAGATTATACCGTAATATTCCTGTTAGTGCATCGCCGAGAAACTCTACCCAGACGATGAATCACAATAACGTGGCTGAAGATATGATGACCAAACCGTACATCAGATGATAAGGAAACGACGACGTTTCGGTCCATCCTGGACCATTATCAAGGCACATACGACTTAATAATGGCCCACGACGGCCGAAACGTTGTCGTTTCTTCATCCTCTGGCGTATAAATGGTCATCTCCTCTACACAGTTGCTGTGACATGTGAAACCACAATATATATTATATACATACAGCCCAGCCTCCTGTTTAGGTAGTATTTATAGTAATCATGAGGACCATCGTTCATATAATGACGTAAAAAGGCAATTACAGAGTAGAAATCAGTACTACTGAGTTTGGACAAGCCGGAATATATAAATATATAATATATATTTGGATATATAAAATGCTAAACTAGGCCTAGGAATATTTAAGTTTGGTTTTCATTTTTTTTCGGACTATAAAGTGAATAGTACCAAATTCTACTATCTAATGGAAGATAATCTACTATATTACGTCTATGAATATACTATAGTCCACATAGTTGCATAAAGTGCTATCTAAACAGGAGGATGGGTTGATATGCATGTTATAAGTTACCTTAAGGATATGTATAGGTCGTGGGAAGAGGTTGTTCTTCAGGATATGACCCTTAAGCGTATCCAAGTTGTACGTCAAATTCACGTTCTTGTAATACAATGCCACGTTCTTTCCAGAGAGTCCCTCCTGCAGGTACAACAACGATTTAGTTGAAGCAGCATTAGCCATGTGCCGATGTAGTTATACAACAACAGCACACGCACACATATATACACACACACAGTTGAGTTGAATTGTCAGTTGAGAGGCAGGACCAAAGAGCCAGAGCTCAACCCCCGCAAGCACAACTAGGTGAGTACAACTAGGCGAATACACACACACACTCTCATTTCAACACAAGTATATGAACACATACACACGCTCAAATAACGCACATTGTCAGAGTATGTATCTCTGGATTGCCAGAGGACATAGATAAAGTCGACCAAGAGACTTCTATATAAACATTAAGATAAAACAGACATACTGGAGGGTGCTGGGTCGAGTCAGAGAGTACCTCTCTGGCAGGAAGGGGGTGCATTCAAATCAATGTTTATGAATGTTAAATTGATTATAATTATTTTTTTAAACACGTGAGGATAGTTAAAATATGCAGTATGATCTAGATATGTCCTCCAGGGATGATTGGAGAAAGGGCTCTGGAGGTGAGGCATGATCCTGCAGAAACTACTAAATGGAGTCAAATCAAACGCATGCAAAAAGTTATGTAGCTTCACAATATCAATACTTTCATTATTTACCCAACTGTGCCGTTCGACAATCGAATGGCACAGTGGATAATAGGATCGCACAGTGTCGTTCGATCCCTATCAAAATAAACACCATTACATATAAACATGATTAAATTACAACGAATATTGGTAATGCAAATGTGTATGTGTCGAGGGTGTCAGCCAAGGAAGAGCAACCCACCGTATGAAAGAATGCGCTGTCAACAATCTTAGCCAACTCCGGATCGTAGTTGATAACGTCGAACATGTGCACTTCGCACGGAAGTAAAGTTGCGGATTCGTCAAACGAAGTGTCGCCCATGATGCCGAAGGAGAGCGCAAGGCAGGATGAGTTCCGGCCTCCAATGATCTCCAAGCGGGGGTCCGCGCACACAAACTGCCGGTGAAATAATAATAATAATAATATGCGGCTGACAATGTCTTGGTAGTAGCCTCGCGCCTCCTCATAGCCTGAGTGGATTTTCTTAATAATAGTAATAATAATAATATAAAAAATACGTGATTACAGCACAGTACAAGTATTCGTATTTGGTATAATTTGGGGAATATGAAACGAAGGGTTCATCATACAGTTAACAAAGTTATACGTTATATAATATATACTGAGAGGTGTCTTCAACTCTGGTGTATTTACATTAAAGTTTCCTTAACGGCTAAAGTATATTTCCTGGTTTGATAGGCCTTAAGCCCAACATCAAACCAGACGAAGTACGTGAATATCACAAAATATGTGGCAGGCATTTGTATTCACGATAATCAATCTTTATTGATGAAACTTTATACTTTTATACAAATCATTACACATAAAGAAAAAGTAGCTTTACAGTGAAAAAAATAATAAACTCAAATTATATGAAACAGGTCAACTGAGTGACGTTGCTCACCTTGTAGCCGTCAAAGTGGAATTTATAGTCTAGACTTGCTATGCAGTATTCACCGCCAAGCCTCAACAACTTTGGGCAGGAGGTCTGAGGAGTGTTGAGATATCTGAAGTAGTCGCTAATACTCTCGAGTTTTGGACCCCATGGTGTCCAGTCAGCCTCTTCCTTGAGCAGTTCTGCGTCGATCGAAGGCAGAAGTCTGCTAGCATAATAGAACATAAAAGAATCAAAGAAATACTCAATGAAATAACAATAGCATGAAATATATATGAGAAAGTCTTTGGATCAGGGTGGCGGACTCTACGTTTTGGAACATTTTAAGTATATTGTGGTCCATTGGTAAGGCGTGTGTCTTGGGTGATCCGAAACCAAAAGAAACAATGGCAAGATAGCAAACACAAATGAGTCAGAGACATGTCAGAAAAAAATGGTCATTGCTAACGCAATATAGAATTTCAAATGTCAACATTATTAGTAAAATATGGAAACTGAGTCAATGCATTAACCGAGATATGTTCGGAAGGCGACGCTAGGATGATGTTTTTAGCTTCAGCTACACGGAACAAAAAGTTCCAAGTAGCACGGGAAATGATGAGCTCGTAGTGGACTTACCTGGCAACAGGAGATGTGCGCAAGGCTAGGAGCCAATGATACGCATACAAGCACAATTCGGGAAGTAGAAGCACTGACCTGTGGAGGTATGTCAGAGACTTGAGGGAAGGACTGGCGGGGTGGGCTGTCACAGAGTAAAGCCTCTTCCTCGTTGATGTTACAGCCACCTTGTTGTCGCTTACAAACTCTTCTTCCACCACTGGAAATACTATGTATGGAAGGTATTCGCTTGAGTACTTGGCCTCCAGCAGATGTGCACGTGTGCTTAAGTGTAAATATTTGTGTTCTCGAGGTTTAGAAGTGAGGTAGCGAGAGTGCAAGAGGCCCAACGGCAGCAGTACGCACGCCACCTTCACCCACAGCCTCGCGGGCTTCACAAATCTTCTGGTAGAAAACTTCATCATGGTGCTCTAGTTTTAAGGTATTTTAAGAACAGTATTTGCACTGATGGAACGTTATTACACCTCAGGGTGGCAAATTAACAAACTTTCCTCGAAATTAAATAATTATTGACATTAAATGTAAAAATAACATGTATTGTTAATATAACAAATGTACCATTACTGTAATTTTCAAGTGAATTTTCTTACATTACGTAAGTCGCTTTCTGCACGACAACGTTTAATGTTACATTGTTATGCATAGCTGCTGTGCAATCATCGATGCACTGTAATCAGCTTGCGCTACTGATTGCAGAATGAGTCTAGGAGCAGCACAAAAATCGCGCCGCTGGCAGCAAAACTGAAATCCTAGTGCACATAGTTACAAAATTTTGTAACATGTGGTCGAAAGTACCAATATAACAGTAATGGAACCCCAATAAGCTACCTTTTTTGTACTATTTTTACAGTCCGGAAAAAATAAGGCTAAAACCAAACATAAATATTCCTAGACCCTAGTATAGCACATAAATGTTCTATATTAGGCTTTAAGTCTAGGATGGTTAGGTTAGGTATTCAGTAATACAACACTCTACTTTCTGGTGTTCCATTACGATGTATTTCTGCTTTCGGCCACATAGTTACTATAACGTAAGCACTTTCCTTTTAGGAGGATAGGCTGCGGAATGAGATCATATATGTAATTATCACTAGACATATATAAAACACTCAGCCATTAGAATCCTAACTACCCTGCACCTTACGTCATTCTTTGGTACAGTAATTATAAACGATCAGCGAAGAGACGTAGCCTATATACGTGTTAGTATGCAGGAGTAAAGTGATGCACTGGGGGGCGAGGACGAATGAGAGAGGACCAGGAAACTGTTGAATCTTAGCAAGGTTTGATGTTTACGTGGCAATTGTGGCAGAACTTTCCTCCTTAATGTCTAGCCCGATGTCGGCGTGAGGGAGGCTTGGTAGGTGGCTGCTGGAGTGTGATGCTCTATGCTGGGATGGAATTTCATCAGTTATTTTTGAGCCTTGTGCTCCTGCAGCCTCCTTTAATAATTTTGTTTTCTCTTCATTTCCTCTCTGGATGAATCTTCCTGACGACTTGGTTCCGGTCTTGAATATTCTTTTGTTTGACTTCTTATGTTGTGATGGAGGGTGAGATATAAGGTAACTGTCCCATGTGCATATCCAAGATGCACACATGGGACAGCCCAGTATTGTGGAGCTCCATGTTCTCTTAAATGTGGCTCCATGGTGGGTACGGGGTTTATTCGTGGATGAAATTTTGTTTGTGTTCATTTTATGTAGATATCAGACCCTCTTTCCCCCTTCTAAGACTTGGAATGGGTGAGCAGGCCCCCCCGAGTTGGACCGTAATGGAAGGTGGGCTCCGTAGACCTAGCTACGTTCGTCCAGACCCGGCTGCGTCTCTGAATATCTCTACTGACTTTCCCCGCCTCGCTTACTTATTACTTAGTAACAAGGCCCCGCTACGTGGCCTATTATGATCTTTGCCCCCGACGACCATACCCGTCCTAATGATGCACATATTCATAGACACTTAGTTAACTCTGTGGATTTCCAGGTTACTTTTAACCCCGCTCGGACTGGTATGTTTAGTTGCAGCCATTTCTCAAAAGGCGGCCGCTCGCCTTGCCTACTTTGTCCTGCCTTGCTGAGTCCCCAATTCAGGTGTCCAAAAACACCCTGTTGAATGCCAGCACTGGCACTGTTGTTCTGTAATACGTTGCAACAGGCGATTGTAACCACTGCCATGAGGATATTAAATATATCCTCGAGGCCTAGGGGCTTCTCCATCCTCTAGAATTGATTCCTTCATTCGTCCCCCTCGTCGGGGAACGAGTGAGGCAATACATTTTCCCTTAAAGCAATAATTTGAATTATTGTTTCAAATGTAGGTACATCTATGAGCATTTCCTCCATTCATAGAATGACGTATATAATCACCATTTCGCAAATCTTGAATAATTTACTTTCAGTGCATCATTAATATCTTTTTCATGCGTTTGACGGCATCATAAAAGCTGACAATTGGACTACAGACGTCTTTCATAGCATTTCACATGAATCTATATTTTTATATATAGTTTAGAGATGTTCCAACCAGCATATCTTACGCTTCAGAGAACGGTTGTGCTCGATGGTGTCCAAGAAATGTGTAAGTACTTCATTCATAATGATTTACTGCCAGAAATCTTAGTGAAGTATCCAAACTTTGCTTACTGTAGGTAATGCATGCACATGACTGCAAAACTGTCGCCCAGTTGGGTGGGTGTGGAGCACATGACTGTAAAACTGCCGCCCAGTTGGGTGGGTGTAGAGCACATGACTGTAAAACTGCCGCCCAGTTGGGTGGGTGTGGAGCACATGACTAAAACTGCCGCCCAGTTGGGTGGGTGTGGAGCACATGACTGTAAAACTGCCGCCCAGTTGGGTGGGTGTGGAGCACATGACTGTAAAACTGCCGCCCAGTTGGGTGGGTGTGGAGCAAGACTAGTAACTGTGTGACTCACCATAGATTTAAAGTGCCTTGTATAGTGACTGTTGTGAGCCTCTTGTTGAATCACTTGATTGAAAATGATTATTGATATGTATATGTATGTACATGTGCATACAATATTAACAATTGTTTAGCTTCACAAGACTGTCACTTTCTTAGCTAAACGAACTATGGAGTTCAGTTCCTGAACCCATTATGTACCTCTGTAACCCTTTCCACCACCGCCCACGGGATAGGTATGTGATGCATAATAAAGAAATGAATAATAAATGTGCTCAGTTCAACGTCTCTCGCCAATCTTAGTCATTTTTACAACCTATCAAAAAATAATGATTGTCCCGGTACCTAATAAATAACGTGGCTGGAATGGACAAAATACAGTATGTACATTTCCTTTAAAAAAAAAAGTCGAAGTGTTTGTACTATTGGTTACTTGATTACCTAAATGAACTGTTTGGGGGGTTCAGTTCCTGAGCCCATTATATAACTTTGTACACTTTTCCTCTACCACTCGCGGAATGGATCTCGGGTGCATAATAGCTAAACATCAACATCACAACAAAGCTAAAAATGTTTTAAACTAACCGCGAGAGAGCCCTGTCTTGCCATATAATTGCCAGATACCACAAAAAGATATATTATCATCTTCAATGTTTCTTCGCCGGTGCTTCCCATGGGCTTTGTTGAATCTAACAATGAATTCCTGGCATGCGCTGCAAAGGGAGTCATGAACACCAGCACAGTAGTATCCCTGGCTACGCTACAACACTAGGGAGGTGGTAGTGGGTGTCGAAGGTGTGTATGTATCATGTGGGAGGAGTCGGCCGGCCGCTTCGCCAATGGTGGACCTCCACGCTGGCACCCTGCTACTCTCGCACACTCCCGTCTCACTCTCAACTAATGTTTACATACTTTGTGGCGTGGTTACGCGTTTCTTAAGACACAGAGTACTCTTAGAGACACGTGCGTCTTATAACGAAGAAGTATGTGGGTCATTAACAAGGATTTCTTAGAGTGTGGAGGGGGAGGAATGTTTGTGAATCTATGGTGCGTTGGGAAATACATCGTGACGTCATTTTGACGTGATCGTGTACGTTACCATAGCAACTACCTGTGTTGGGGGATGAGGATGTGAGTCATAGTCATACTATGACTCTCAGGTGTCAGGTATTCACTGTAAACGTTTAAGTAACAATCCTAACATCTGGTTACTTGAGAAACTATATTATATTAAAGAATAACGAAAGTAAGATTCATATCAATGAATAAAAGTCCTGCTGAGAGCAAAAGAAGACTGAACACTAAGAATTGCATCATTTAGGGAATTCCCCTTTTTCATAGGAAGTCCACGGTCCAGGGTAAATACTCCAACGTTTTATGCATACACACTCACACACACACACACATATATATATATATATATATATATATATATATATATATATATATATATATATATATATATATATATATATATATATATATATATATATATATATATATATATATATATATTATATATATATATATAATATGTACCCAAGTTAATGTAAACTCAATGACCCCTCAAGGATTCAAACCTGGTCCGCCAGGGTACCATTCCCCTGGCTGCTCAGTACTAATACCATTCAGCTACCAATTAGGTTATTCTGCATCGAAATACCGCAACACGTTTTGGCCAATATCGTACGAATTCGGTTGATAGCCTCGTCAACCGAATTTCATTGTGGACATCATAATACGTATTATAATTGTATATTGGTTGACCGTAGAAAACTGGACTATTGCACCAAAAAAAGCAAAATGTTTTGTACTATTCATTTTGTAGAGAGCACCAGAAAAGGCAGCAAACTTATACTTTCCTAGGCTTAGTATAGTACATGTGTGTTCTAAATTAGGGCTAAGATGGTCTAGGATGTCATTGGTTGAAAAAGTCTTCAGTGAAGCAGGGAAAGCATACATTGATTTCAGATTTGAGTCATCATTCTGTCAATAATAGGTCTAAAACAGGGTAGCTTAGGTTGCATGGTTATTGTTCCAGTTTTTAGGATGCAGTTTGGAGTACCACCTACCATTGTTGCACAATCATCCAGTATATTGCAATAAGCAGTACTATCACCTTTAAAGGATAATGTGAATTAAAACCAATCCTACAAAAGTTATAATATACATATTGCAACTGCAAGAAACGCTTCGAAGGTTTTTTGTTTTCTTGAGTAGACATAGATGCGAATTTTTAGGATTACACGAGATTGAAATAGACATAATGCAAGAAAACAATAAGTTGCATCATGCAAATATTTCCCACGCGACCTGACTCATTGTCTCGTGATATGACCAGTATACGTATAGGTTGGTGATGGGAGAACGGTATAGGTTGGGTCTTTACTCCCACTACTACCTTACAAATAATAATAATAATAATAATATATGTATATACATATACATGTATATACATATATATGTATATACACATGGAAAATAATATACCACTAATAAATAATAATAATAGAATGTATATTTATATTATTCAATATACATTTGCCCCAGAGATGGCACCCTTTTATTATACTATATAAAATAATACTGTAATAATAAGAGTATATATATATACATATATATATATATATATATATATATATATATATATATATATAACCTATATATATATATATATATATATATATATATATATATAGGCAAATCGGGCCTTGAATATATATATATATATATATATATATATATATATATATATATATATATATATATATATATATATATATATATATATATATATATATATGGGTTCAGTTCCTTAACTCGTATGTTTCTCTGTAGCACTTTCCACCACTGCCCACAGGATGGGAATGGGATGCATAATAAATGACTAACTACTAATAACAATTGTACCCATTAGGTTTACAATAATTGACGGTTCACTTCTTTATATGAGTATGTACATTATTAGTAAAATAATTATCTTTAAAAGGAACAAACAAAATCATTGCTGGTCAAGAAAATTATATATAATCGGTCTCCATAGTGCTTACAAGAAATAATTTATTTGTAACACCATGAAGCGTATTAGTTAAAGGAATAATATTAATCCTTAAAGCTTAATACACAAAATATGCAGGTATTTCAAACGTAAGATAGTCATCGAGAGGGTAAACCCTTCATGCAACTGCACAACCATCAAGAAGAAAAAGAAGAAGAGAAGATAGTATTCCGTCTAAAAGTCTAAATGAATCACAGTGGCGCAAGCCGTCGACGTGGAGGTCTGAGCTGGGATACCTCCAGAACGCAGGCGCGGGGTTGCGCCTTATCTTAATCTTCAAACCCTCTTTTTTAAATACTGAAATCCTTCAAACAAGCACAAAATCATTATATATAAAGAAAGACAATTAACAGTTAGTGTTAACTTGAAGAGCGAGTGCCGAGACAAGGCTCATGACGTCTAAAATTAGCATTGGAACGGACGTTTGTTTACAAGCGCCGCGTTGGCAGTGTGGTGACGCAAGCCAAGCCAGTGTTTACAACGGGGAGGTGGGATACGCCTCAGTCTCTCTTCCTGCCGCCTCTGGACGTGTACTAGTGTTTTACGCTCTATCATGTGCACTCGGCGTTCCGTGTTCAGTGTAAAACGGTACTAATAGTCATATCAGTTGAAACAGATATATAAAAGAAGAATTGTCACTTCAGGTGCGATATTAAATGTTATTTTTTTAAGAGGATAATCATCTACATGGTTTTAGAACAATGGATTGATTGAAAGACAAATGTTTAATTATTTAACTAAGTGAGCAGCGAAGCAAGATTACATAGAAACGAGATATTCACATGAATGACATTTGTAAAGTTGAATTGGTTTATTAAGAACTTCCTGGCTATCCTATGACTGCTCACAAGATGGGTATGGGTTGCATAAGAAATGAGCTAAACTTAAAAAAAACAGTTTAGTGGCAGAAAAATTACTCATATGATAGGTTTAGATATTACTGATCATAATGATCTTTATTATAGATAATTTACTATGGTAAAAGTTACATATAAATTTCAATTGAACCATCTCGCCACGAATGTAACTTAGCTAAATGATCATTGCAGGACCCACTACTTGAACCCATTGAAACAAATCATTATAATTTAATATAACAATATTATTCTCATTTAACAAGACATTATTCTCATTTAATATATATAACACATTATTCTTATTTAACATATATAACATTATTCTCAGTTAGCATATAGCAATACATTATTCTTAATTAACATATAGCAACACATTATTCATATTAACATATAACAATACATTATTCATATTTAACATGTAGCAACACATTTATATTAACATATAACAACAAATTATTCATATTAACACATAGCAGCACATTATTCACAATGTGAATAATGTGCTTGCTATAATTACTTGAATAATATTAAAGTAATGGCTCTTATTCTAGGATGACATATTCAAGTGTGCATGATGGTGTTATTGAACAATATATATCGCTTATATATCGAACTGCATTTTTTTGTATATTTGACAAACTATAAAATATGTATGTTGTTTAGTTTGAGTGTTGGGCTTAAGGCCTATCAACCACTGGAGGGACATTAAGGTCACTGCAGTTGCTTACCGAGCAACCAGCAAGTATATTTAAGTCCTGAATATTGGCCAAGACCAAAGTTTACTCGTAATGCATAGACACCGATAGATATGGAACACCTCTTGGACACAAGGATATACATTGAAAGTTTACTTTTGCTCTGAACTATGTTCAGGACTAAATTATACTTGCTGATTGGTCAGTAAGCATGTGTGTACTTAATAACCCTCCAGTTGTTGATAAATCTTAAGCCTAATCAAACCAAGCCTCTCGGTGTATGGAATTGTTAGCACTAACAAGTCACGATACAGTACATTATATTTATAACTACATATATTTATAATCATATATATATATATTTATAACAATTCTATTCATAACAATAACTTGTAAAATAGGAGTCCTTTGTTGTTATAACAACCGATTTTAATTTTGTGGTTATTTGTTACGTTAACAAGTAAATACTGACAGTTTTACATTACGTTATGAATTGGACAAGTCAGTTTTGAAAAAATCATTTGTTCTAATGATTTTATAGAACTGGATTTATTAGCTGCTTTCATATCCCCTTTTTTCGTTTTCTCAATTTAATTGAGTTCTCTTTGTTTTCCTTTTTTGAGGGACGTGTCTGGGCCTAGTCACTCGTCACTTGTGCAACAATTATTATTTTTTTTTATTAACACATTTAGGTACATGTGCATTTGTGTAGCAACCCTTGTGTAGGGAGTAGTGTATCTGTGTAGGGAGCCGGTCGGCCGAGCGGACAGCACGCTGGGCTTGTGATCCTGTGGTCCTGGGTTCGATCCCAGGCGCCGGCGAGAAACAATGGGCAAAGTTTCTTTCACCCTATGCCCATGTTACCTAGCAGTAAAATAGGTACCTGGGTGTTAGTCAGCTGTCACGGGCTGCTTCCTGGGGGTGGAGGCCTGGTCGAGGACCGGGCCGCGGGGACACTAAAGCCCCGAAATCATCTCAAGATAACCTCAAGATAACCCTAGACTATATGAAGGGAAGTACAGTGTGTCAAAGAACTAGCTACGTGATGCTAAAATCCCCATCACACAGGATGGTTATAGTCATACACAGGCATGTGATCAGTAGTCTGCACTGGCAGGCTCTGGGTGCATTATGAGGATATCATCATGAACACAAGAGTGAATAAGATAGCAGTGATACTAAGTCCCCATTTCGCTGGATGGTCATACAGGGCCATCTGTAGAATAATGATGAATTTTGGCTCGGAATCAGTATATTCCCATTTACTAAACTGCCTTCTGCAGGTGTTGCAAAACACTTTATATTCTAGTTTCTTTTACGACATATCTGAATTCCATTTAGTTCAAATCAACAGCTTTACCATAACTATTTATGTAAATCTCAATCCTGTTATTAAGGCGCAGGAACTAGAGTATCTAACTCTAGCTTGCAGGCCGAGAGTTCATCTCCCTTAAACGGCTCATTTTAAAGCTTTATCCAGCGTGATTTCTAAAGAACACGCTCCTCCAACCACACCCAGATACCAAATTGCTGCTTAGTACATAGGGGTTTTTAGAGTGGATAAAGATCCAACCCCATATTAGCCTCCAAATGTATGATGGAATTGATGAGTTAGCCAAGGCACGTGCTCTTAAAGAGGTAATTGATAGCCACCTTAGATTACATTTTAGCCACCTGAGGGGGCAGTAAAATACTGCAAACTGCAACAAAGTGTGAAACTCCCACTGTAAATGTTATCATATTATTTATTATTCATTAAAAGCACATATTTATGGATCATCTAATAAAGACTGCAGCGTTCTATACGTTACTACAGCTAGGCTTTGGCTTGGCTACAAGTACCTCAGGAACTTTTGCACCGCCTACTGATGTTAACCTGACCCAATGTAAACTGTTAGCAGATCCGTTCACATACCTTGCAACACTAAGGAATTTTTCGCATTCAATTATAGATAGTGATATTCACATTTAGATGTACTTATTTCACAAATGGTAATTAAATGTGCAAGTATTTCATTCAAAACTATGTACTACCAGAAATCTTAGCCAAATATTCCACGTTTGCTTATTGTATTTAGTGCATGCGTAGAATTACAGACGTTCCACGTTTGCTTATTATATTTAGTGCATGCGTAGAATTACAGACGTTCCACGTTTGTTTATTGTATGTAGTGCTTGCGTAGGATTACAGACGTTCCACGTTTGTTTATTGTATGTAGTGCTTGCGTAGGATTACAGACGTTCCACGTTTGTTTATTGTATGTAGTGCTTGCGTAGAATTACAGACGTTCCACGTTTATTTATTGTATGTAGTGCTTGCGTAAGATTACAGACGTTCCACCCACTTAAATGGGTGCGGGGTGCATGACAAACAAATCAATATTATACGCAACTAGTTCACCACCAATGTAATTGGCTTAACTTAAGAGATTGTTGTGGTGGTGTTCTTGACTCCAATATATTTGATATATACATTAATATGTATACAATATAGTTGATATGTATACAATATAGTTGATATGTATGCAATATAGTTGATATATACATTGATATGTATACAATATAGTTGATATGTACATTGATATGTATACAATATAGTTGATATTGTATACACATTGATGTGTATACAATAAAGTTCATAAGTACAATGATATGTATACAATACAATATTGTTGAAATGTGCATTGATATGTATACAATACAATATAGTTGATACGTACACTGATGTGTATACAATATAGTTGATATATACATTATACTGAATATATATATATATATATATATATATGTCGTACCTAATAGCCAGAACGCACTTCTCAGCTACTATGCATGGCCCGATTTGCCTAATAAGCCAAGTTTTCATGAATTAATTGTTTTTCGACTACCTAACCTACCTAACCTAACCTAACCTAACTTTTTCTGCTACCTAACCTAACCTAACCTATAAAGATAGGTTAGGTTAGGTTAGGTAGGGTTGGTTAGTTTTGGCCATATATCTACGTAAATTTTAACTCCAATAAAAAAAAATTGATCTCATATATAATGAAATGGGCAGCTTTATCATTTCATAAGAAAAAAATTAGAGAAAATATATTAATGCAGGAAAACTTGGCTTATTAGGCAAATCGGGCCTTGCATAGTAGGCTGAGAAGTGCGTTCTGGCTACTAGGTACGACATATATATATATATATATATATATATATATATATATATATATATATATATATATTGATATATATATATATATTGATATGTACAATATACGCTGATATGTACAATATAGTTGATATATACATTTAACTATATAACTAGCTGATGAAGACTGTAACTTGAATTTTTGGGATCAGTGTCTGGGCCATTACTGCCCTCTATAACCTTTTTCATTGCCCCTCCTCTCCTCTCAAATTTTGACACCAAAATCTTCAACGGGAATAATTGAATGTACAGTACTTTTATGGGTGGGATAATCCCTGTGTATATAGCTCTGCTGACCTTCACAGCTTTAAAGGCCGTAGATTTTTAAAGTCCTGCCACGCCCCTTTCGTTATTGAATTTAAAGTTCCCGCTTTATAATGTAATATGGCAGCTCTTTGAATTCATGAGTAAGCTCTTTGTCATTAATCAGAGAATATTTGTACTTTCAAACCTTTCCCCAGTTACCCACTTATTTAAATTTTAAAATATTTACTTAGATAACAGCATGGACATCGACTGGCGACTTTGATTCTTATTGCTGATTGATTTCACTGCAGAGTGTTTAGAATTTGGAGATAAATATGTTAGCAGTAAAAGCTTAGGCTGTGAAAATTAGTAACGTATTTACGATGGTCTAAGACAAAAAAAATTCTAAAAGTTAAATAATGAAATGGGAAAGTATTGTATGAGAAGGCGAGGAGCCCTGCGCGAGGCTAGCGGGTGGGCGGAGCTTGTATACAGATGTCTCTACCAGAGATCTACTTTTCCTCATTGTTTCGGCGTGTTTCTGTATATATAGTTTGAAATCTCCAATCCATATTTTTAAGTGGTTTGACTTTCGTACCTCGTTGTATTACTGGCAATGTATTTCGCATTATAATTCATGTGTTTATATATTCATACTCCAGGTCATGTCTTGAAAAAAGAAATACAAATAGAAAGAAACATGATAAACCATACTTGAGTGAACGAAATTGGTATGTCTTTTGAACAGAACATTGTGTTAGTGTAAACCCGTTCCTCCTGTAGGGTGGACGTACGCTGGAGTTCCTACGTCTCTTACGCGTCCTGGAACGTTACCATGATGAAGGCGAGATCCAGGTACCGGTGGACAGGTGAACTGGCTCACTGACGTTCAGTTGCCGGTTGACGCTGACCGACACAGGGTGCGTGAAGGTGCTCTCGGACGGTTGCTAGTGAGAGAAACTAGTGGTGCACCCAAAGACATTAACAGTAGGCGATAGTAGCGAGATGTGGCAGTGAAGAAGTCACCAATACTCGAGACATATGCTTATTTATTACGGATAGAAACACTCTTTGACTGGAAACATGTGTTCGGCGGACTTCGGCATGCTGGACCTCCTGTTTGACAAGGAGGATCCTTCGTGCAAGGGTTTTGACGGGTTTAGAAACACCCTGTTCAGCAGTTCTGAGAGATTCAACTCCGAGGACGTGAAGGAGGAGGTCCTCGACTCCGGTACTATTGACTGGAAGATGGTGAGTGAAAGTCGTGCATTGTGTGTGTGTCGGTGTTATTGTATATTTTATTAAATCAATTCTGCATGTGTCACCGCACAGTCCCTCTGGAGCTTTGCAAACAACAGGTGGATCAGATTATTGACCGAACAGCTGTTGCGTGTCAAAATCAGCTGATTCATAAGAGCCGGCAGGAAGCTCAGCCCTCCATATTTTACCCCTTATCATCGCTTCATCACCTGAAAATGTCCCGGATTTCTTAATTTGACGTTAGTTTGATATGCATAGTTAGTGTTTCCTCCACTGGCAACTACTCCTAACCAGTTGTGTGGTGTGAGTGGGGGACCATATGTGTTGTGGGCGAGGCGGCCACGTCGCCTCCCCACAGGTGTTCCCAGTACATAAACAATACAATATTGATGCCGCTCAGCCCCGTTCCTGTGCCAGGCAAGTCCACTACGGGCTCACCATAGCCCGTGCTACTTGGAACCTTTCTGTTCCCAGTAACTGAATCTAAAACATGATTGTGATTATTTTAGTAGCATGGTCATGTGATACTTTCTATTGATATTTACCATTTTTTTTTTTTACCTAATTAAGATTTCACACTTGAAATGTAAGGAAAAAGCAAGTTTCATATTTGTCTGTGGATCTTCCTCTCGCTGTAAACATAGACCAGCATTTTATATTTCTCCAGAATAAAACCAGTTGACTTGCTGTGGCGCCATGTTGAATAGCCACGAGGTGCACGTGTGTATACCATAACAATATTGGATACCATTGAAAACTCACACCCCAGAAGTGACTCGAACCCATACTGCCAGGAGCACTGTGCAACTGGTGTACAGGGGCACCTTATCCACTCGACCATCACGATCGGACAAAAGTTGATGGTAGCCGAGGCTATTTCCCCATTTTATATATATATATATATATATATATATATATATATATATATATATATATATATATAGCGTACAGCATATTATGTGACAATAAGATTATTGCATACTCGTATTGTCACATAAGGTTAGGTTAGATAACTAAGAACCTGGGTTTTTATAGGTAACTTAACAGTAGATGTAAACTTGTTTTGCTATCGAAGGGCTCAAATGGAGTACAGTAAGCTAAATGCATAAGAAATGGCATGGATAAATTATTCACATTCACTTAGTTAAGTTCCTCGTTCTTCTATCCCCCCCTCGTTCTATTCTTCCCCCCTCCCCTCGTTCTGTTCTCCCCTCCCCTCGTTCTGTTCTCCCCTCGCCTCGTTCTGTTCTCCCCTCTCCTCGTTCTGTTCTCCCTTCCCCTCGTTCTGTTCTCCCTTCCCCTCGTTCTGTTCTCCCTTCCCCTCGTTCTGGTCTCCCTTCCCCTCGTTCTGGTCTCCCTTCCCCTCTTTGTTCTCCCCTCCCCTCGTTCTGTTCAACCCCTCCCCTCGTTCTGTTCAACCCCTCCCCTCGTTCTGTTCAACCCCTCCCCTCGTTCTGTTCAACCCCTCCCCTCGTTCTGTTCAACCCCTCCCCTCTCGTTCTGTTCTCCCCTCCCCTCTCGTTCTGTTCTCCCCACCCCCCTCGTTCTGTTCTCCCCACTCCCCTCGTTCTGTTCTCCCCTCCCCTCTCGTTCTGTTCTCCCCTCCCCTCTCGTTCTGTTCTCCCCTCCCCTCTCGTTCTGTTCTCCCCTCCCCTCTCGTTCTGTTCTCCCCTCCCCTCTCGTTCTGTTCTCCCCACTCCCCTCGTTCTGTTCTCCCCACTCCCCTCGTTCTGTTCTCCCCACTCCCCTCGTTCTGTTCTCCCCACTCCCCTCGTTCTGTTCTCTTCCCCTCGTTGTTCCCCCACCCTCGTTCTGTTCTCCCCCCCTCGTTCTGTTCTCCCCCCCCTCGTTCTGTTCTCCCCCCCTCGTTCTGTTCTCCCCCCCTCGTTCTGTCCCCCCCCCCTCGTTCTGTTCCCCCCCTCGTTCCCCCCCCCCCCCTCCCCTCGTTTCCCCCCCCCCCGCCCTCGTTCTGTTCTCCCCTCCCCTCGTTCTGTTCTCCCCCTTATTCTTGTCTCCCCCCCTCGTTCTTGTCCCCCCTCCTTGTTCTTGTCCCCTCTTCGCATTGTCTCCCATTTTTCCTGTTCCCCTTATTTTTTCCTTTGTTCCCCTTATTTTTTCTGTTTCCCTCATTTATTTCTTTGTTCCCCTCTGTTTTGCCTTTCTCGTTCTGTTCCCCCACCCCCTCCTTTCTCGTTCTGTTTACCCCCCCCCCCCCCGCCCCTCCTTTATTGTTCTGTTTACCCCCCCCCCCCCCGCCCCTCCTTTATCGTTCTGTCCTCTACCCCACCTCTTTTCTGGTTGTTTCCTCCCTTTTCCGTTGTTCCACAATCCCCGGTCCACCATCCTCACATTTTTCTCGGTGTACCCCAAGTTTTCTTTTTATCCGTTTCCTTGCTTCTATCCTCCCGCTTCAACACCTAATCCCCCTTTCTCTCCCCCGCCTCTATACCCAATCCCCTTTCTCTCTCCCTATTGTATCCCTAACCAAATCACGGTTAACCATTTAGTTTTCCAAGTAGCGTTGGGGGTTGAACGTAAGCCTCGTGATATACAACGAGGATTGTATCATTGAGATACATTAAAAGCTTTAAACAGCTTCACGGACCACCCCAGTTCCTGTGCCAGGTAAGGCCACTACAGGCTCACCATAGCCCGTGCTACTTGGAACTTTTTGTTCCCAGTTGCTAAATCTAAAACAATCACGGACCAGGCAGTTACCAGGGAAGGCTGGCCACGGGCAATGCTGCAGGAATAGCGCTCGAAATCGTCAGAAGGTAATCGAGAGGTAATCATCGACAGGTAAAAGGATTATTGCAAAAGTCATATTGGCCCATGCGAGGCATGTGGTGGTGGTTCAGACTTTTTAGTCTGTGTGTGTTCTATTTCTGAAATGGATCTCGATGCCTTGAAATTGAAATAAGTTTATTGAGGTAAAATACACACAAAGGGATGAGGTAGCTCAAGCTATTCTCACCCTGTTCAGTACATCGTGTTAATACATACATAGACACACATCACAAGCAATAAACGTATTACCGAACATTCTGAGAGATAAACATATACATTTCCTTCGATGCCTTTGTATTGTGTTGCTAGGTTGTATATATGTTGCACGATGTAATTAATGTTATCATACGACATCACTATTTTGAATGTGTATATGAAAAATGGCCTTCTATTCATTCATCTCATTGTAGTAGTAGTTATGTGCATTTAATTAGAAGATATATATTTTTGATGTAATATATTTTCCTGTTACAAGTTCCAGGCTTGTCGAGCTATGCTAATTGTTGATTTTTTATACACTTGAGAATAAAATTCTTGCAATTTAATTTTTCAATATCACATCACGTGGTTAGGTTCAACTCGAAAAGAGGCTATAAATAGACAAGAAATTGGCAAGAACTAGAAAGTTTAACAATGAAAGTACAGAAACTATTTGCAGTATGTAATTACGTAAGTGACGCGCGTTACAACACAACTTATGACCTACTTGTACGTTTTACCTGCCCAAAATATCACATTTAACCAAGAACACAAGGTAAAAAAAAAGACTTTCACTACCAAAGGACGTGTTGAGTATTTAACAAATGCTAATTTCAATGTCGTTAATTCGAAAGTTTGAATATAATGTTCCCTACAAAAGTAGCCAGACTGAACGTTGATTCACTTCTCCAAAATATATTTACACAAGTACCGTTATTGTTGCGTCAATTGTACCGTTAGTGTTGCGTCAATTGTACCGTTAGTGTTGCGTCAATTGTACCGTTAGTGTTGCGTCAATTGTACCGTTATTGTTGCGTCAATTGTACCGTTATTGTTGCGTCAATTGTACCGTTATTGTTGCGTCAATTGTACCGTTATTGTTGCGTCAATTGTACCGTTATTGTTGCGTCAATTGTACCGTTATTGTTGCGTTAATTGTACCGTTATTGTTGCGTTAATTGTAGCCAGCTTTCCACCCTGCGTTACACACCAGCGCTTTGACTAGCTTGCCAGAAAAATATAAATATTCGACAAGAAATAACAAGATTAAAAACAAAGTAAATGGTGCCATTGCTTCGCTCACGTAATTGTGCAACACTGCAGGTTTACGTTAGTTAGTGAAAAACAATGAGCGGTTGACGAAAGTCAGTTTTGAAACTGATGGAGTTTGTTCATTTCAGTCAGTTTTAGTAATTTATTATGCACCCCATACCCATCCCCTTTGTTATAAGAATGGTTTATGATTATTCATTAAATAACCGTTATTCACGTTGTCAATCGTTATTAAATAAAGATTTCTTTGGCCTATATGCCACTGTAATGTGTTTTCAAGAATTTTTTTTTATTATAACCCCCATTCTTTTATCCACGTGAATACCTCGCATAGGAGACAGTACTAAACCAATATTATAGTTAGGTCTAAGTATGTTAGTAAGTAATTTAGAAGTTCTCAACTTGCATATTATTGAATCAAATACATAACCAAACGTCTGGCCACATTTAGCGAACTTAAGCCTACAATTGCATTAGCATTTCAGCCGTCTTATTATTATTAGTAACATCTTTATTGACAAATAATTACAATTTTGCCTAATCTGAGTAATTCAATTAGGTCTTATTAGAGTGAGGATAATGCTGGTATTCACTGTCACACAGGACAGGATCATACACAATAGGTCTAAAACTGTAGGCTGAAGCACACAATTTGTAACCATGAGAGAGATGTATATATATACATCTCTCTCATGGTTACAATCGACTCAGGCGTCTTGAGAACGTTTCGGTTGCGTCCCTGTCTGCTACAGACCCTGGCACCGGCAAACAGATAACGTAGGAAAGAGCCGGCGTGGACTTCGACCCGGCTGCTTCACCACTTCCCTCTCTCTCCTCCCCCCCGTCAACCAGGGCAGGTTGGTGAAAGTGGTCCTGGAGCAGCTCACGCCGTGCCGGCTTGTGTGTGGGAGGCGGGGTAGAGGCGTGCAGTGGCAGTATGTACGGGGGGGGGG